TGTGTGTGTGTGTGTGTGTCTGTGTGTGTGTGCGTATGTGCGTTTGTGTGTGAGTGAGTATGTGTGTGTGTGTGTGTGTGTGTGTGTGTGTGTGTGTGTGTGTTGGTGTAATAACTAAATGGGTAATAATCCAGAGCTCTTTGAATCCATTAATTGTTAAATCCTCCAATTTCAACACTCAAAATTAAAATCCATACATCCCTCCAATATTCCTGAACAAGGGTAGCCGGTGCAATGAGGAATGCCATGTGGAAAGACATTTTTATTTGTCCATCTGACGTTAAGTTCATTTGTTTTCTTTTGACGTTGAGCTTCCTGATTCAAAAACAGCCTTTTGCTTGACATGTTTCAGGTGACGAAAAGCAAACGTGTTCTTTTCAGGATTCTTTTTCAAGCTGTGATATTCTCAGGGTCTCTAGAAGCGAGAACCGAGAGATGGGGGAACTCCACAGAAATAATACCAGCTAATGGAAGTTTTGAAGAGGAAGTCAGTTGAAGAATGGAACCAGAAAGCGTGAGATTAAAAACGACAATCTCTTGCTAAGTAATGTCAAGCACGGCAATTGGAGTACTTTTCAAAGTTGCAGCTTACGGGCTCCGAATTGTAGTAAAGTGCTCAACAATTTTTTTAAAACTTCAGTTTAATTTAATTTACGAAATGCAATATATCAGTGCAGTAGAAATAAAAGGTATAATATTATAATCAAGTGACTTCGTTGCTTTGTCTATGTTTTGTTTCTGTTAACTTGATATAAGGTGCATGTTTCGTCTATGTGTTTATCTCAATCTATTTATTTATTGTTTCTGTCTAATTCTGGTTTATGACTTTTGATTGCGTGATCAGTTGTTGTAAACCACTAGCCACATACACTGATGTTTTGATCTGCTTCGGCATTTCAAGTAATCTACTGTATTATGTCAAGAATAATCTTCATTAGAAACTCAATGAAGGGAGGGGTGGCGCAGAAATGTGTACCTGTGTGGAAAGAAAATGGCAGCTGTAGACTTATGATCTCAGACATACGTCTCCAACTTTGACCTACAATATCCTGACATATCCATTTTCATACGTAGTTCGAGATTCCCTCTTTCCAAAGCCGGCCGTAAGGATTATGAAGAAGAAAAAATCCCCCCGCCCCCAAGAAACAACCAAGAAAAAACAAACAAACAAACAAACACACAAACAAACAAACAAACACACAAACAAACAAAGAAATAAGCAAACAAACACACAAACAAACAAAGAAATAAGCAAACAAATACACAAACAAACAAAGAAATAAGCAAACAAACACACAAACAAACAAAGAAATAAGCAAACAAACACACAAACAAACAAAGAAATAAACAAACAAACAAACAAAGAAAGAAACAAACAAACAAACAAACAAACACACAAACAAACAAACAAACAAACAAACAAACAAACACACAAACAAACAAAGAAATAAACAAACAAGCAAACAAACAAACAAACAGACAACAACAAACAAATAACCCCAACCCCCCAAACAATAAAAGGAAAAACGCCCCCCCCCCCCTTTTCCCAACCCAAAAAAAGAAAAAAAAAATTCCAACAAGAAAGAAGAAGGAACTAACAACATATTGAATAAAACTGCTGCGTTACTCTCCCAAAGGTTCGACACGTTGTTCAGTTCGTGAGCTCTTCTCAATGACCGATTGTGAGTTCATCTTTTTCTTCTGCACCCTGACTGGTTGACAAAGAGATAATATCTCGGTTTTTTTTTCCAATGACAATGACCTATTGATAAACCGGTTATTCATCATTGTTTCCCAGAACTTGCCCCACATCAGTGGTGAGTGAGATCGGTTTTTATGATACTGGTTCGCTCTTATCTGTATTAGGTTTCTGAATTATTGGTATACAGTTTTCATTGAGTAAATAGACGACAGTCCTAATTTTTTCCAATGCTATAATGTTTGCATTTCGCTTTTCTTAATAATATTACGCTTTTTCTCTTTCGACCCTTTTCAGGGAGGATCCTTCCATTAACTTTAGGTGACTTAATTTTCATACGGTAAAACCCAATGGATGAAATCCCGAAAGTGCGCACAGTGATATGCCCCGGCCAAATAGAATGAGAATCTCAAAATCGCTAACGCGTTGACATAATATAATAATAACAAAAAAAAAAAAAAAATAAAATAAAAAAAATAAATAAATTGCATTTATGTAGTGCATCTCCACAAAGAAGTGCTCAATGCGCTGTACAATAATACAAAGAACATATGCAGCACACAGCTCCTATAGTAATATAGTAATCATCTCTCTCTCTCTCTCTCTCTCTCTCTCTCTCTCTCTCTCTCTCTCTCTCTCTCTTTCACTAGTGTCTCTCTCTCTCTCTCCCTCCCTCTCTCTCTCCAGTACATCCTTGAGTAAAGACAATCCCACAAAGCGTACCCATACACCCTCGAAGACATTGATGAATTCACAGTCATAAATTCTTACAGAACAGAACAGCATGAATAAACGATACTGAGAGAACATAATAGATTACTGAGAGAAAATAATATTTGTGTATTGGGAATGTCGGAAATTACAGTTTGTAGCTGGACTGAAACTAAAGCATTTTAAGTGCTGATTAAAGTTTTGGTAAAGTGATATAGACATAGATCTAAGTGAAATCAAAGCTCCCATCCGGGTACTCCCAAAGCGAAACTGTTTCCAACGGGCTAAGACGGCGCTAGCAGCAAAACAGTTAATTAAGGCTCTGTTTTATTAGTTCGAATGTTTCTTTTCTGTGTGTGCGAACGATTATTGTAAACTACTGGCTACCTGCGTTAGAAATTCAGACAATTGTTTGCCAACGTAGTTGTTACATTTCGGCGACTGTCCGTTACGGAGAGGCTCACACATTGAGCAAACCCCTCTTCTGATGGTGATATAACAAACAAGAACGTACAGTGTATAGTCTACTAGTACGTTTGTGTTTTAGCGTCTGTGAAATGGCAGTTTGCACTGAATGCTCTCCAGGAAGCTAAGATTATTTCAGAATGCTCTCAGGTCTGCTGGGATAATAATATCAATGTAATAATATAATAATTATAGAGCGCGTAGAGCTTGCTGAATTCGCGCTATGCAAATGCTATTTATCATTATTATATTTTTATTATAATAAGGCTGTGTGCTCCATCTTGGAAATTATGTTTCGTGAAGCTATCAGGATTTACGGATAGTAATACAGCTGCAAGTTCATTTGTAATGGAGATGGGAAAAAAAGATTGTGGAACAAAACTCCCCATTATAATATTTATGTTTTTTAAAATCGATTTGCTTATTCATCTATTTTTATGATTATTATATGTGAGGCAGCGTGGTGGAATCAGGCTCTCGTCAATTTTTGGGCATGTAGAGTTATGGGTATCATCTTAAAGCTTGTTTACTTGTCTTTATTTGTATGAAGAAAATATCCATTTATCTAAAAGTCGAGATATTTGCGATTGAAGGAGGTGGGGGTCACCTGTTTTCAGAGGTAAAATTAGTTAGAAAATGGTCTCCAAAGAGTAGTTATTTCCTTATCGTAATAGTCCGTGGTAACTGAAAATTTACATTTTTTGTGCCTTTAAGCAACGTTTTTCAGAACAATCCACACAAAAATTAAATTAGTTCTTTAAAGGGCATGAAAGGTGTCGAGCCAAAATACAAAAAAATTGATAAAATTTCACGAACCTGCGGGGAAATGCAAGTTTCTTCACTTTGATTATTTTGACGAGAGCCTGATTCCACCACGCTGCCTCACATATTGAAAGGACTTGACGCCCAGTTCTGAAAAAGTGAACTTTTACACCAGGGACCAAAAGGATTGAAACCTTCTCCAAAATAACTACAGCCTATGGCGCTCTCTGACTTATTGACAGAAAAGAAAGGCGTATTTTCAGTAGTATGAACTTAGAAAAAAGTGTGGTTTTCGTGTAAAGGGAGCGGGGGGGGGGGGGGGGGGG